GAACCGCAGACGGCAAGGCGGGCTGCACAATGAAAGCGCAAGGCATCCATCCCAAACAAAACGGCTTGAAAAGTGAAGTTGCTTTTTTAATCAGATGCTCAGAGGCTGAAAGACATTCCCTGTTGGAAAGAAAAAGGCGAGCGCAGAGCAGGTTGGCAGCTTTCCAGGCAGTGGACAATATTGACTCTAGAATAAAATGGGTTTTTGCTTAGTGCTTGCCCCAGGGCAGCAGCCTCCCTCCTTTGGAATAAATCATGCGGGTGGGCGATCCCCTGTCATGGGCTGACCCTCGGGTGGCTAACCGTGTGCCACAGCACCCCCTTGCCTGACAAAGGGACAGGGAGCAGGCAAGGGCTCCACTGCGGCCACGCACCTGGTGTGCTCCAAGGCAGCACCCCCCCATTCCCCTGCCTGGTGCCACCTCGGGCTGCAGCCCTGGACTGCTTTTGAGGGGATGCGGCTGAACTCTGCACGCTCCGGGAGGGCAAAGGAAGCTGCCAACAAGTCAGGTCAAGAAATGGACTTGTTATCTAGGACTCTTTTGCCACCCTTAAATCAAGTCAAAAAGCTACAGCTCTGATCTGAAAACAAGCATTTAAAAGAACTCTGCTTCAATGCGAGCAGCAGCAAAGGCCACCATTTGTGTTCCAAGGAGGAGCAAAAAAATGTAATTTTGAAACCACAAAAGCTGATGTCAGTTGGTAGTGCCTTCTGGATGCCTCTGGTGAAGTGCAGCGCTGTACAGCTCCTCTGGGCCCGCAGGAGGCCGAGGGGGGAACCCTGGCAGGGCCGCCATGCCAGCCAGGGACACAGTAAGTCAGAAAACCTCAAAGCAGGTTTTGGGAAGGTGTCTAGGATATAGGCAGAGCAAAGCACTTCAACATCGTTCACACTAGATTTATCAACTGAAAAAAAAACCTGACCAACCGTGTCTTAAATTTTAAACAAAAGGCAAAGAGAGAAAATACTGTGCAGTCCTTTATGAAGCAGTTATCATCAGGCCTGCTTTTCCCCCCCCATATATTTCTACCTCAGGCTAACCGCACCCCTTTTTAGTGCTGGCAGCGCTTTGCTTACGTGGCCACCGAGTCTCCCCTGATGCTTCTGGTTTTAGGACTTGTCAAAGCCACCAGAATTACCCTCTCTCCAATACAAGTTCAACTTCTGCAAGCCACAGGCCTGAAAACCCCAGCCCAGAGACCCAACCGTGAAAGACTGTCAGGAACACAGATGTCTGCCAGCAAATTACGGCTCAAGACAGCTTGGAGGCTTGGTCAGCCGG